ATTCCAAATGTAGATAAAAATTCAAGTTTATCCGATTCTAAAAAAACGCATGGGATTGTATTTGAAGAAAAAAAGGTTGTACATTTGCAGAAGAGCTTTAACTAAACATTTTTATGCCCTCCCTGGTAGTGTGACCCCGCCCCCCCCCCACTCAGTGTTATTTAGGGTACGCATATGCGTGTTCCAACCGACCCCCCCCCCTTTTCAGCAAAAGTTCGGTGTGTAAAGTCAATACGGCTCGACCTTTTTCTTTTGTATACGAGCCTTTTTCAGCACCCCCTCCCCTTTTCAGCAAAAGTCCGGTGTGTAAAGTCAATACGGGTCGATCTTTTGTTACGAAAAGGACATTTTGGCAACACGCATGGGGTCCGTCCGTTCTCGGAGTGGGGGGGGGGGCGGGAGTGTGACGGAGAACGAAATTAAGAGAGAGAAGAAAACATAGGGAGAGAGAGTGAGAGAGAGAGAGAGAGAGAGAGGGGGGGGGGGGTTCGATTCCAGTATCACTGCATAGATTTTCCTTGTGGCAAGGGCATGGAGGTGAGAGATGAATACTAAAGCACATCCCAATAAACAAAATCACGTGAAAATCACGTCAATATCAAGGTATCGACTTGAGGAAAGTTACGTTCTTCAAACACCGGACATTTACGTAAATGTGTTAATACGTTTGTTGCACTAGGTCACTTAAAACACACGTACACTAAATCACGCAATTGTCACTGCAATATCACCATTATAATAACGTGATTATCCCTACCTTGGAGACCATGGTTTGGAAACCTAATACTCCCGTGTTTTTTTGGTTATGAAATTACATCTTCATAAACGAAATTATCGCGTCACAAAAACACGTGAAGCGTTAGTGATTGTTTTAGTCAAAATATCTGCGTGAAATTCACGTGAATATTACGTTGAAGAGGAAATATATTACTGTAACCCGCGTTCAACCCGATAATTACGCAAATGTTACACTATAAATAAACCAAAATAATGACGTTCTCATCCCGTTTCTGAACATCGTGTTTTGGATCTTCCATAATTACGTCCAGGTGCGCCGGAAGCAGTTTGGGATTAGAGGGGTGGGGGGGGGGGTGGTTGCAAACATCCCAGAGGAGAAAGCTAGTTGCAACTGGTCCAGTTGATGAACCAGTTAATGCCAACTGGTAACCCCAGAAATTGAAATGGGCTAAATGATCCAGTTGATCCACACCAGTTATAATTCAACTGGTCTAGCTGAGCCATTAGAACCATTTGGTAAAACTTCCAACCAGTTGAACGGCAACAACACTTCAATACTGGTACGTCTGTATTTCCAATGTAAATGCATTGGTAATAAGTAGACTTACATAATTAATTAATTGAATTTTTTTCATATACTTGTATTTTATTGAAATTATTTTAGTTCTAGTTAATGTTTTCCTTATTCATGTTTAATTAAATGTAATTTATACGAAGTAGCGAAATGTCCTAATAACTGGTAATTTATATTTGTAGTATTTTAGAAATGAATTGCATATAACTAAATCATCAGTAATTAAGAAATATGCTCTAAATTCAGATAAACTGATTAAAAAACATAGATCTGCACGCACCCCATATTCAATATGCAAATTAATTTGTGTCAGCTGGTTCAACTGGAAACATGCCAACAGTCAGCCAGCAGTCATCACCTGGTGCAACTGGAAATATGCACACAGACCGGTTATCAACTGGTGTAATGTAAAGATGCCAACAATCAGTTATCAACTGGTGAAAATAGAAATATGCCAACAGACACGGGATTATCACCACGGAACTTAAATGGTAACTGTGAAACCATCAAGACACCCAAGAATAACTCATTTTTCACACCTGGAAATCACGGAATACCCAGCTTAGATTAATAATCCGTTTGAGTCACGAGATCATCACCGCGGAACTGCTGGCAACTTTGACTACCATTTACATAGGTGTTTTAAGACACCTAATAATTTCTAATTTTTTACACCTAAATATCACGGATTCACAGCTTAGATTAGTAATCAGTTTTAGCTACGTGATCATCACCAATAAAGTTATGGTAACTTTGAAACCATTTAAAAAGGTGTTATAAGACACCTAATAATTACTAATTTTTCACACCTAAAAGTCACTTATGCCCAACTTAGATTAATAATCCGTTTGAGTGACGAGATCGTCACCGCGGAACTGCTGGCAACTTTGACTACCATTTAAATAGGTGTTTTAAGACACCTAATAATTACAAATTTTTCACACCTAAATATCACGGATTCACAGCTTAGATTAGTAATCAGTTTTAGCTACGTGATCATAACCAAGAAAGTTATGGTAACTTTGAAACCATTTAAAGAGGTGTGTAAGACACCTCAGAATTACTAATTTAATATAACCAGAGATTCACGGACAGAACAATAAGACGATTAGCCGGTGTAAGTAACGTGATTATTACCATCAACCTTGGATAACCTGTAAAACCAATCGATTAAGGTGCTTACAAGACCAAATAATTACTTATTTATCACCACCATCGGTTAACGGACAAAAAACTCGTTGCTTAGTCAAGTGGTTATTTGGTCATAAACACGTGATTTACAGAGGTAAGTGGAATCACGTTACTCCAGTCGCGTGATAAATTGGTGGTTTTTAGGTTAGATGAAAACGTGAACAGGAGTACCTTTTTTGTTTAAATGAAAGCACGTGTCGATAACGTTTAAATTTAGTTCAAAAGGCACCATACTTTAAAATCACTTAAAATACACTCCCAAAAGAGGTTACTTTTTAGTGTTTTGTTTATTGGGATTGCATTGATTTATTAACACGAAAGTTCACATAAGTCTGTGACTGTTAGCGCCAAAGGTGGCGTCCTTTATTAGTACTTGAGCATCAGTATCAATCTTGTTTTCAATTAGTTACCTGACCATGAATATACTGGATTGTCTTGTATTTCTGTGAACATTTTTTAAATTTACTTGGACAGCTTTAGACATCGTTTAATGGATTATAATATGTTATAATATATACGCACCAATACATATAAACATACACACACACACACACGCCCGCCCATGCACGCGCGCACACACACACGATTCCTTTCAATTTAAAAACTACATCATTACATTGAACATGTTCAGCCCCACCCATCCCGCTGTCAAAAAATGCTTCATATCCTTCATATCCTCAATCAGTTCTATTCCAAACGTTATTGAATTTCCTCTCATTTATTCATTTGTTATTGTAAATATACATGTACAAGCAACACTAACGCATGTTCTCATTAATACGGTAGGGGACACTCTAAACATCAAGGCACGAGCCCCTTACACACAAATATGCACGCACACTCATACATGCCATTCGTCAATACAAAAACGCTAGCACATGTTTCATGTATTTGCATATTCATGTACTTGCATACATTGTAAATCTCAGAAAAAAAGAAAACAAACAAACATAAGGGGGAAAAGAAATATGCAAAGAAAAGAGAAGTTGAAGTACTTTATTACATACTGTTGCATGCAAAATTAAAAAAAATAATTTGATAGACACGGCGTTATCGTTATCCGTTAAGTTCCATGTTTATTTTTTTTCTCAAAAAAACAACTCAAGTTAACAAAAAAAAATGACAAGTAATTGACTAGTCCAATTATTCAGTGCATACTACATTCAGGAGTCATACATTATTATTAATTGTTACATAAGGCCCCATAACCCGACACATTGCTCACACTAACTGCAATCTCGTTACCCACTTACAAACACATGGTAACATAAATCTGTTTGAACAAAATTCCCAGCCAGGGTTAAAACTCCAGTTTATTTGTATTCTGTGAGTTTGAAATACTGATCCACAAAGAGTTTCTTGATAAAACCGAGCAAATTCTTTCTTGCCTTATTGATATTAATTTGTGTATAAAAAGATGAATAAGATGACGGGTTCGTTTTATTAAAAGTTAATAACTCCTTTATCATTTAAATTACTATTGTTCCTCATCATCCATGAAATATTTGACAATGATTGTAAATGTATCCCTGTGTGAGAACAAAAAATCATTAGCAACAATCACGATATTCTTCTGTTTTATGATCATCGTAGATCTAAATTTCTGCAACCATCCCATGATGAATTTCCACAGGTAACTTTGGCATAAAATTGGAAATTGCCACCACAGAGGCAAGTAAGTCATATTACCACATAATCTCAAAATATATCAAAGGAGTCTACATGTGCAATATAATATGCCACCAATTAGATATCTATATTCATAGATTTCCTTTACAATTGAACCTAAAATAAATGAAGTTTATGGATTATGTGCAATTTTAAATCAATGTTGAGGCGCATAATTCCAGATTTCTATCTTGGCTTGAAACTTTCATACCTACAACATCTAAGAAAGTTTCAAGCCAAGTTATTCAATGTATTAAAAGAAAGTTATTTACTTGTGCTTTATCTCTATCTAGTGTAAATAATTTGATATTATACTTAACCGGCTCAATGCTAGGTTGAACGACGATACGACATACACAAAGTACTATGATTAATAAATTTTATTTGTTTCACTATTTGTACAGTGCTTGTAATGTCAATCATTGTGCTCTTATTAGGTCTGGCAATTAATTTCGTTAGTTACCATCTTACGGAAACTATTATTTCGTGTATCACAAAGAGGTAAAATTACTGAATATATATATATATATATGAGACATTGATTTACAGAAACAAAAAAAATATGCCAGATTGTTTTATTCATTTAATAGTTTAACACTGATAACGTATTTTTTGTTGTTTAACCTGATATGAAAGTCAGTGCCAATGCCATACATTTTGTCTTGAATGAAGTTACACAAAGGAGAAAAACCTAAATGATTAAATTGTCTAACCTACAACTAAGTTTCGATCATCGGGTGGAAGACGAATTTAATCATTGTTCCTGTCCATTGATCAAACAAATTATTTAGAAAAAATGGCATTAATTGTCATTAGACTGAGACCATTTTGAACTAAGGAGGCATTATAATTTAATTGCAGAACCTATGACCTCCATTTATAATTAAATTTGACATATCTTTCAGTTTTCAGCGTACTGGAGCGGGAAAAATCCTTTTCGATCGTGGTGATTTGATACCATTAAAATATAGCTCTAATTCGCATTTTTATGTTCCTCTTACTTTTGTACATCATTACAAATGAAGGATAAGTGCAGTACAGATAGGTGCATTAGTAACAACTTAACTCGTACTACTAAGTGTCTAATTCTTTAGTTTATTTTATGTATATTTTACCTCAACCTGTGCCATATTGTGTTTCACCGCAGCCTCCATGCAGTCTTTCATTTCAAACCCTGGAAACTTCAGCAGTTGTTAGAGGTGCATTTTTAGTTAATTTGCACCATGGTTTTTTTTCCCACAGTTTTCACTCTCGTCGGTTTCGGATATGTCCTGTCACGGGAGAAAATATCCATCAATGTCTTCATCTTTCTCCGCTAAAGGGCGTTTGGTAAACAGTTGTCATGTCGATGTACTCATCCGATAATGATTTCCTGGTCGGAAGGATATATACATCGGGATCTAAGTCCTTTTCATTGTCGGGTGTTTCATAAACGTTATCGATGTCATTGTTTATATTCCTTTTTTTTTTTTTTTTGAATTGCGAGAGATTCAGATCACCTCCATCGTCACCATCAGCTGCTATATTTGATTCATAATCGTGATGAAGCACACACGGTCTTTTGTCTATCCGGTAAACGAGGTGGAGTGTTCAAATCTTGGTAAGCTGAATCAGCCGACAGAGAGTGCTTTGATACGATATTCGTTACGTCCATATAGATATGGTCGTTTACATCTTTCGCAACCCTTCTTTTTCGAATTATACAAAGACAGCACGCGCAGGACGATACCAGAATGATGCTGAAGAGCAAAACGCAAGGTACAAGTATCAACGTAAGATTTGACATTAGAATTGGTGTTGAATTATAGTTACTTAACGCAACTACTGTAGTGTCGTTAGCTGCTGAGGCCAGATCGTCTGTAGTAGGCCTACGTGTTGTTACACCAGATGCTTCAAAATTGGAATAGGAAGTCAAATCTATGACAAAAGAAGAAACAAATCGTTTTGAAACCAAAAGTCAGTTTAAGACATTTTACATTTTCAAAATATTTGTGTAAAAAAAAGAGATCAGAACATGCGCTCGGATGATTATGTTATTAAGACATTAGAGTGAAGGTGATGTAGACAATTTAGATTGTAACATGAATTTATAACAAAGTTTTGATTTTAAACGTGATTCAGTTCTATCGTTAACCTGTTATTATTCTTTATTTACAGAGGATCCAAATCTTGATTCATTCATGTGGTTAAGGCCTTTAGGTCCAGGGAAATGTTTATCTTGTTACCAAATTGGATGAATGGTTCACTTCATGCTCCGGATTGTCTGACTGCAGGGACGAATCATGTAGGTTATTTGTCTTTTTCATGATTATAATTATTATAGTAAAATTAAGAGCACCAAGTAAATACACCAGCCTTTGCCAACATATTTTTTTTTATTAGTGCTATGTACAGTAGCGATTTTACCTAGATGAGCTGCATGCATGCATGAGACGCTGGCATCTTCTTTGTGTACGCAATCATGGACTCCAATCCCTTTATGCTTGCAGTCTCTGATGCTGGTTTCTGTCCCATTGCACTGAACACTATCCAGAAAGATATCCCCAGAACCTTGGCCAAATCGTGCTTGGGGTAAAGCAGCCACAGCACCATCAAATCCTAACTGTCTACACACAACCTTAGCGTCATCCAGGTCCCATAAATCGTCGCATATAGTCCCCCAAGATCCTTCGTGTAGTATCTCAACTCTTCCTTCATATTCATAGGCTCCACCGACAAGTCGAACTAGATTGAATAAAAACCACAAAAGAAAAATTAATCTTCATTTTTCAACCAAAATCGACGTGAAATTGCTTCATAGTCTGTCAATCATTTGCTTACACTTCGAAAATATGAAAATTTAATTTTAAAAAATCAATCCTTCACCAAAAGATCACGCGCATTTGCAGTTTTAAAGGAGATTAATATATATTTCCTATTACCAATTCTGTATTTTAATGTCCATACAGTTTGATTGGATGGTTGTGCGTAAAGGTTTGGGTCTGTGTTCTGTTTTATCATGTCAATCACGAATCTTACCTTGAATATGGCATTAAAGGGACAGTTTACTCGTTGTTTAAGACTGCAAATTCCATCAAAGTGCGTGGTTATTGCTCTTTTTTTATTTATGACATTTCTAGCGCCCTTTTAGGACCTAAATTGCTTTGAAGGTAATTCTAGACTCTGTAATGTTAAATTTATGATTACATCTGATCATACCAATTCAGCTCTATTTAAAAAAAATGCGGAGACCTTCAAGTAATTAATTGATTAATAATAACAATACATGGTCCGGCTGGTTGTGCGTATTATAACCAACACGAAAAAAGCCAACAAAATGGCAACGTTGAAATTGGCCGAAATAAAGCGTATAAAGCGCTATATCGTTTTTTCAACGGCTGGTTCAAAATTATCGAATATTTGTGGAGCCCCACCAATTTAGAAATGGTTATAATTCTGGATAGTTCAGCTTTCTCCGAACCGATTTTGATCAAACAAGGATCATTTTATAATTTAAATTATAGGGTTTTCAAATTTCAAACTCAGTTTTTCATTATCTCACAAGAAAATTATTTTTGGGAGCGCCCTCTATACCAAAACTCAACTACCCCTTTAGAGTCATATCAGTATCCTTTAGTTCTCGCCTTTGCACTGGTTCCAACTTGATTCGTTAATGCTTAATATGTATACGAGTATTCATCTTTAAAATGAATTTCGGTGGAAATGTTATTGCCTTTTTGGAATAAAGCTATCCATACACAGCGTCATTGTAAGCATTTCATTCATAATTGTGTACATTTTAAAGCTCAATTTAAATGATTAAGATACAAATAATGACTAGATGCAATATGCAGAATAGTTAAGGAATGTACCTCCTAAGAGGCACGTGACCCCAGCGTCTTCGATATGTCGGCAGTTGTGCACTCCAAACCCTAGATTTACGCAGTCCGCAAGATTGTCTTCCGTTCCATCACACCCGACATGAGACAGGAGAATGTCATCGGACCCCTCACCAAACTGGGATGAAACTGGTGCAGTTGAGGCATCACCAAATCCTAGCATTCTGCATACGACCTTTGCATCTTGCAAATCCCAGCCATTGTTGCAAACTGTTCCCCATGTGCCGTTGTATCTGATCTCCACTCTGCCTTCAGAACTATCGGATCCACCCACGAGCCGTACTCCAACAGAGTTTGGATGGGCTAGAACGAAAAAGAATTTACTCTGTTTATGTGTAGCCGCAATTGTCATTCCCTATCGTTTCCAGCTAAGCTTTTAAATCAAGTCGTATAGGACAGGGGTTCTGAAACTTTTACCTGGACGATCCAGATCATTTTCATGAAAGCTACAAGGTAAAAAACAATGGGGGAATTTCAATTATTCTATACATATAAGTTTGTAACATAATACAATTGATACAGTCAAAATGTGAATTTATGGCATGCATGTAAGAATTATCAGTGGGAAAAGTGGCATAGTTCCCCGGCAATAACCTGCTTAAACCAGTAAACTTTGGCACAAAAAAAGAGTGATTGGAAGACGAAGGCATTGATGCAAATATTCAGACAATCTACTCCTTAAAATATCAGTATTGAAACTTGTATACGAAAGAAAAATAGGATTGTTTTACATTTTTTAGGGTATATCTGATCTAAGGGAAATTGTTTATTGACGCCACACAGTACCCATGTCACCATCTGGTCGAAGTTGTATAAATTTGGAATCAAAAGAAAGGGGACCGGATTGATTCTAACCCCCCCTCCCCAATTCTTTTAAGGTAAAGAAAAACACCAGGTCCTCTCTGGCGGTCCGGATCGACATGCCCCAGGGTCAGGTTGCGGAACGCTGTCCGGACTTTGAGAAGCCCTGGTATAGGATGTGGATCCAAAATAAGTCTATATCTTATTGAAGTTGGAAAATTATGTGAGAATCGTATCATATACTATACTCTTTTTTTACGCTTCTACCGAAGACATCCCTATTAGCCACTGCATACCGGGAGAGATGTGTCGACCTTTAGTGAAAGTGTCCATCATCCCTATCAGGCTGTAAAACACTTATTTTGAAATGCAGGTCCATCACAAATATAGGACTCATTTCTATTGTGTCCACGCTTACGTTGCACCTTCTAGACATTGTGCAAATTGGCACGTGACGACTGCAATGATATTCGACTATACACAGTATGACCTCATGTTTTATGCTCAAACGTTCTCAATTGGCATGTTAGGGGTCGTCGTAAGATAGCCGAACGGGGTCCAAACTTGCGCCAGACTATATCATAAGAAGGTGTGAAAATATCATTATGTTATTGAAAGTATAGACATATACCTCCTGAGGAACAGATAGCACCAACAGCCTGTCCATGTCCGTAGTAATGGACGCCTATCAAAAGATATGCACAGTCCGCTAGATTTTCTTCCGTTCCATCACAACCGACAAAATCTAGAAGTATATCCTCAGATCCCTGACCGAACCTCGCAGAATTCGGTGCGTCCAAGGCTCCATCGAACCCCAGCATTTTGCAGACGACCCTCGCATCTCTGAGATCCCAGCCATTATCACAGATGGTTCCCCAGGATCCATCGTACAAAACCTCAACTCTGCCTTCAGCACTGCTGGATCCATCGACGAGCCTTATTTCGAAAGGATTCGGATGTGCTGAGGCAATGGAAGTCAATAATTGATAATTGAATCATGAAAACAAATGAAATGTGAATTAGAACACAAAATGAAATACTACTACGCAGTTATGTATGTGTTCTTTTTAGGGTTTTTGCAGTAAAAAAAGTTTGGTCGTTTCAATACGATATCTTAAACTACAGTATTGTTCCCATAACTGATAAGGGCGGGATCAAAGTAGGTGATGCACTAGACGAGTGAAGTACATATTATTTCTATCATCTACAGACCATTTACAGCCGGTAGTAGTGGATAATAAGTGGATAAATAATATAATACGGTATAACAAACCTCCATTGTAACAAATAGCGCCCGCATCTTCATCATGTCCACAGTAATGTACTCCAACCCCTCGTTGAATACATTCTGCTACGTTTAGTTCTGTACCGTCGCACCCGACGACATCAATAATAATACGACCAGAGCCCTGACCAAACCTAGCAGATCTTGGTGCGTCCGAGGCTCCGTCAAACCCCAGCATCCTACAAACTACCCTCGCGTCTCTCAGATCCCAGCTGTCGTCACAGATAGTTCTCCAGGATGTATCGTACAGTACCTCTACTCTGCCTTCAGCATCGTTAGACCCACCGACAAGACGAACTTGTAATGGATTTGGATGGACTACAAGAAAATAAGAGCGTGATCATTTTTGTAAAAGATGAGTCATCACAAAATTTCAACATACGTTGGATGAGAATGAATGAGGGCAATTTGAATTAATCGGGTCATCTTTTTAAATTTTTTGTTATTGCTTTAGGTATCATATCAGTACTACCTACGAATAAACCCAATATTGAGTGTAGACGAGAAGGAAAAACGGAATTTAACCTTAATACAACTACGTGTAGAAATAGGTAAACATACGACAACGTGTATTTTATACAATGAGAACATTATTCTGATTTTTGGTCGTTATTGCTCATACCATGCGAAACCGTTGATAAGACGTAGTTTTATATTTTTTTATGGGCACCTTAGACATATTATGTACAATCCATTGCAATACCTGCCTCCTTACAAAATGACCAATTCAAGCAAATTGTATTAAACATAATAATTTTCGATTTTGTGGAAGATTCGGTTTCTTAAAAAATAGTAGTTTGTTAGTTATAAATAAATTCATTAGGAGATAAACGGGCGATTTCTTAAATTCATAACCAAAAACTATTCTGATGTTGGTTCTCAATGAAAAAAATTGTAAATAAATAATCAATCATACTTCCTGAGTAACAAATGACACCTGCATCACTCGCATGACTGCATGAGTAACGTGCATTCCCGGAATAACCACATTCTGCGAGGTTGTCTTCTGTTCCATCACAGTTTACCCTATCTAGAAGAATACGACCAGATCCTTGACCAAACCTAGCAAATCCTGGTGCGTCCAAGGCTCCATCAAAACCCAGCATTCTACAAACCACCATCGCGTCTCTCAGATCCCACCAGTCATGACAGATAGTTCCCCAGGATCCTTCATGCAGTACCTCTACTCTGCCTTCAGCATCGTTAGACCCACCGACAAGACGAACTTGAAATGGGTTTGGATGGACTACAAGGGAATGGGAACGTAATAACATCTTTCGGTTGCTTTTGATTGCATAAAGGTCCCCTATCAGTATTACCTAATTATAGACTCAATATGAGAAAATTATTCAAGTTTGGTTGTTTTTACTTTTACAATGCAAAACCGTCGATAAGATGGAACGTCTTTGTTTGTTATTATTACGTACAATCCATACAATACCTTCTTAGAAAACGACCAATTAAAATTAAAAACAATATTATAATAATAATATTTAGCTTTTATATAGCGCTTATCACAAATGTCTCGAAGCGCTTTACAAATATATCATTACCCCTGTCATTGGATTCAGTGCTTGCCCGTAAACACTGTGTGCACAATCTCCACTCCCTGGGGAGCATTCCAGCCAGGCGTTGACGCTCAAAAACTGTTTGACCAACAATGACGGTCGCATCATACCGGGTACCCATTTAACACCTGGGTGGAGAGTAGCAAGTGCAGGTTACTATCTTGCCAAAGGATATTTGTGCCGTGTCGGGATTCGAACCCTCGACCTTCGCATCTCCAGTCAACGCCTTAAACCACTCAACCACGACACTCCTTACAATTGTACAATACAATAACTTTCTACTTTGTGAAACATTCGGCTTATTTTAAAATGAAATAAATTAGGAGGAAAAATTTAGACTTTTAAAGTCACCTTTTTAAAGCTATTCTGATGTTCGTGCCCAATGAAAATTTTAGTCGGGTAGGTGTACTACTAGGTTAAAATCCCTAGAAAACAAACCTCCTGAGTAACAAATGACACCTGCATCACTTGTATGACTGCATGAGTAACGTGCATTCCCTGAATAATCACATTCTGCAAGGTTGTCTTCTGTTCCATCACAGTTGACCCTATCGAGAAGAATACGACCAGAGCCCTGACCAAACCTAGCAGATCTCGGTGCGTCCAAGGCTCCACCAAAACCCAGCATTCTACAAACCACCCTCGCGTCTCTCAGATCCCACCAGTAATGACAGATAGTCCCCCAGGATCCATCGTACAGTACTTCTACTCTGCCCTCAGCATCGATAGATCCATTAGCAAGCCGAACTTGCAATGGGTTAGGATGAGCTAAATTATGAAAATATTATAGAACGAAATATGTCATGTTTATTAAATAGAATACATATTTACATGAATTAGGAATGGCATGGACAAATATAGAATCTTTTCAATCTTAATTTCATTTAATTTAGTTTTTTGAGGCAATGATTATCGGATAGATTGTGAATCATTCATGGAAATGATTCCAAGACAAGAGTTATGCGATTCTAAAGACAGTGTGCGTGTTGCAAATTCTGCAATCTTTTACTTATTATTTCTTCAGTTCTTACCTCCTAAATAACATACGGCACCTGCGTCCATGTGATGTCCACAAGGAGTGCTGGTCTCGACTTTTGAACAGTCTGTTCCCGAGCAATCGACACGCAGAACATCACCAGAACCCTGACCAAACCTGGCTGATCGTGGCGCGTCTAGAGCACCGTCGAACCCCAGCATTCTGCAAACCATCTTTGCATCTTTTAGATCCCACCAGGTATCACAGACAGTTCCCCACGATCCACCGTACAAGACCTCCACTCTTCCTTCAGCATGGTTGGAGCCATTCACGAGACGTACTACAGCATGGTTGGAGCCATTCATGAAACGTACTTCTACTAGGTGTAAAAGTGTCAATGTAGCAAATATTTCTCCGCTTACCCACCTATTAAGAATAGTTAACTTGGTTAAAAGCATTATAATAAGTCTCTGAAACCAGAAACAGCTCTGTTTCTGCTTCTTTTCAAAGGAAGATTGGATTGATTTTTCTTAAGTGAAATTGTTCAGCCGTCACTACGGTGAGGGTATGGAAGCGTTTTCCAAAGTATATGCATGAAAATGTCAATCGATTTGCTGGAATGTGATAAAAAATGTCTACACAAATCAGAAAGGAAAGAATATTGAAAAGCAGATTTCTGGCTTTGCCTACACATATTGTATACATAGTCAGGGTTTTGATAATGTGGGTAGGCATATTTATTGTTGTATAGCTATAACCAGGATAACGCCCTTTTTTGCAGTTACTAAGCGTTTTCTAACTTGTTCCACAAGTATATAACCAAATGACGGGAAAAAAAAAATCGTTTGATGTGAAACTCTATGATAATGACATTATGTAAAGCGCCAGGAATGTCAAGTATGGCAGACACGAGCACTATTTAAAAGATCCAACTACACTTTCGCTCACAAAGGTGGAATATTTTAGTTTTACCCCAAGTTATGGAATTATTAAAAAAATTATTTAAAAAATAATAGATATAAAAAATAGTATACATTCCCAGATTTTATTGAAATTTGACTTGCCAATGTGTGTTTTGCGGAACTGCTAAAGCATGTGTATGCTACTATGTTTATTGACTAGGGGACCTACCCTCTCAAGTCATAAATGACAGTAATGAGGATTAATGCTCCACAAAAGGGCACTAATATAGCACATCGACACGGTTTTGATCATGGGGCCTCACAGTTACGAGGCCATTGTTTTGTCACTGAACCATGACTGTACGCAGCGGGGGCTAGGGTAGGGGGCAGTTTCCATAAATTAAAAAAAAACAGAAAATGCAATAAATTTTCAATAATTTATTGCATTTTACCCCGGTCCCCAACATAAAAAAAATCCTCTGGACGGCCATGCATTATGGCTCAAGGCATGGGCACACAGAATTTATTGCATTTTCTGTTTTTTTTTTAAGCTTATGGAAACTGCTCCTACCCTAGCCCCCGCTGCGTACAGTCATGGTTCAGTGACAAAGCAATGGCCTCGTAACTGTGAGGCCCCAGGATCAAAACCGTGTCGATGTGCTATAATCCTCATTACTGTCATTTATGACTTAAGGGCATAGGTCCCCTAGTTGATATGCATAGTAGCATACACATGCTTTAGCAGTCACGCAAAACACACATTGGCAAATTATTATTCAATAAAATCTGAGAATGTATACTATTATCTAGATCTATTATTTTTAAATTATTTTTAAAATAATTCCATAAATTGGAATAAACAAAAATATTCCACCTTTACGAGCAACAGTGTATTATTATTATTAAAAAAGGTCACCTTTTTGTCCTTTGGTGAATATTAGTGGTAAGCAGATATTCACTTAGTTGTGACAAAGGCATGGAAAAGTCTAAGACCACATTGACTGTAGACTAGGTCCTTTAGTGCAAAAAGTGATATAAAAGTTAATAAAATGTCCGTTGTGACATAAGGTTTGATCAAAGGCAGAAAATAATAGAAATGTAGATCCGTGAATTTTACAGAAAAGTTGGCAAACGATAAAGGATGTTTTAAAGCTGCGAGATCGAACAAAAATTAGCAATTCGGAATACCTTGCGAGTCCCTTTTTTATATTTTTATACTTAAACATAAATTCTTTAAAACAAAATATCATAACTTTCAACATAATTCTAACATTCAGCTCGATTATCTGTCCTTTCACACTGAATCCACGTCTTTTCTCATTTTTTTTTCTCTCGTTCATCAGATCATATATCTCTCGTTGAAATTTAATAGTTTTGAAGAATAAACCGAAGTTCGAAGTCGGAGTGTAATAAAGCCTTTGGATTGAATTTATACAAAAGTAATCATGACCATATCAAAAGTAAAACAAAACTGAACTGGGCTGCGCGTCCCGCGACCTAACCTTTACAGCAAAACTTAACAAAAGGCCATGCATCCATTTGTTCCAGGAGTTATTCTAAAAATGGACAAAACGAGAGTGAAGTCATTTATACTGTTGGATGTAGCATCAGCTAAAACAATGTGATCTTTATTAAAAATATGATAGTTCAAACTAATATGTGAATTTACAATGTAATGAACAAGGTTTACAATATACATGTGTACACGTATGACAATTTGAACAAGGCATATTCAATACTTTGGTCTGTTTTACTTTGGCAATGGAACATTTGGCATCTGACTTTGAATCCATCTAATCTTCTATAGTTCTTCATTAAATACTTGTAATATCAGAACCATACTTATGACCAACTGCGATCATGTCCTTATCTCAGTTTCATCTAATACATTTATATTAACTACTTTGTTTCTGGTATATTTACATGTATATAAAGATGAGAATCTAACTACTGGAATTTACTTGAGCTTGAATAGCAACAATGATTACCAGTAAACCAATAACTGATAATATATAATATAATACCATATGAAACCATGAATTATTGTGGTTATGGTAACAGTTTTAAACTGTTCGTATTAAACATGTCTACTCTTTATAATACTAAAGCAATACTTAATGTTTGAGAATTCAATATACTTTCTCTAACCTCTGTATAGGCGAAAGCCATAACAATTAGAAAACTGTTCTCTCAAGACCAAACTAATTATCAAAGTCTATGTTTTCTACTCAGTCTCATATACTTTATCACTAAACTCTATGTTAACACTAGTTGGAAGAATATATGCCTTCCCTCTACAGCAATATATACACTGTACACTAATACTGCAACATAATCATCCCAGAGCAGGTTTCTGGGCTTCTACTCCCTCTTGCATAGATTACAGCTCATTAAGCAAACAAGAGGCACAAGTCGCTCCTTTGTTTCTACTAGTACTAGTGCGCAGTGCACACTCAGACACACACACACCAAATGAGAGTGCCCTGTGTTCACTGTTATGTAACAAACCCTAACTTGCCTATACACATCCTTTGTCTTAAGGCTTGAACACATGCACAAAGCAATCACAAAACAACCTCTTATTAAGTCCTAATATATCCTCATCCAGACTCTCACATAATTACTATTATCACAAATCAATATCTTTAGTACAAATACAACAATATTATAGATTGTCACAAACTGAATATATATAATAAGAGTTGAATTTCTTACCTAAAAATGGACAAAACGAGAGTGAAGTCATTTATACTGTTGGATGTAGCATCAGCTAAAACAATGTGATGCCAGCCCAGCAGCTACCAATTCATTATCTCCCATTCTGGGGGGGGGGGGGGGAGGGGGGGGGGGGTAGGGATTCTCATTAAGAGTGAACTCAATCTGCAACTTGTTCCTGGTATTCTTCCAGATACAGTAACCATTGAACACGCTTTGGTATCTGCAAATGGTCTTGTACAGAACATTTCAGAGCCAACGCACAGGTTGGGAAATACATTTTATTTAACCCTATCACTCGTGCAGATGGTGATTATTTGATGAACTACAAAGCTCACGTCCAATCATATTGCTGATCACCACGTGGTATGTGCTTCTCTAAGAGTGTCTCATCCTGAGTTGATATCAACAATTATATACCTCACTTAAGAAATCCAGCCATCTGATTGGTCGAATTGCATTCATAAACTTCAACTGTTCCTGTAAAATTCCCGGTAACCATGCATAAAACATTTCAATATTTTTAATAACCATGGTTATTAAAAAAATAGGTCAGTCTCCATGGTTACCCCATAGGTTTACATGTTAAAAAATGGTTTGAGCGATGGAGGATACCATACGTGTGCGAATAATTGGTCGGCAATTTCAATACAATTGAATCTCGATCGATCTTACCGACAATTTTATCTTGCATTGTTGACATGAAGACGAAAATTAACTCTCAAAAACAAAAAAACAACATCTGCCGATAGATCTTGATCTAAGTTCGTGCCAATATGCATTGCAAAAGTAAAAGAAGGGTCCGTTTCATGGAGCTTTTGCGAAGCATTCATCACACGCAAAGCCGGTTTCAATCCATTTTAATGTATATATAGTACAAAACTGCTAAGCATGTTAATAACGCGCGATGGCCGAGAGGTCTGAGGCGCTGACTTTAGTTACATCACCTTTTGTACGCAAGAGTTCGAATCTCATCTTGGACCAGAAAAAAAAAAGTATTTTTTATTTTTTATTTTTTAGTCTATTTTTTTTCGGCATATAAAAGTATTAATGACTGCTTTAATATTCGAGAAATAGTTGTTTTCATACGCTCTCGGGAAGGTTACAATTGGGCTATTCCCCTCGGCAAGCCTCGGGGAATAGCACAATTCTAACCTTCCCTTGAGCGTAATAAAACAACTATTTCTCTCAAAGCAGTCATTAATACTATAAAATATCCTACAGGAACTTCAAAGACATGGATCACTCTAAATTTTTCTCTGAGCTCGCGGCTAAACTTGATGCTCCTGAAGTTAATAATGGGACTGCTGATGAATGTCTTATCAATATGATTGTATTAGAATTTGACTTTGCCGTCCAGGAGACTCTTGATTCACGCCGTGAACGCCGCCGATGTGAAAGGCGGTGGGGAAAAACAAGACTGCTGTGAATTGGAGCTGCAAAACTGCATGTCAACAGGTGCATCACCATGACCAAGTGTTACGGAAACTATTATTTCGTGTATCACAAAGAGGTAAAATTACTGAATATATATGAGACTTTGATTAAATAAAACAAAATATATCAGATTGTTTTTTTCATTTAATAGTTTAACACTGATAACGTAATTTTTTTAGGTTAACCTGACATGAAAGTCAGTGTTACTGTTATACATTTTGTCTTGAATTAAGTTACACAAAGAGAAAAACCTAAATGATTAAATTGTCTAACCTATTACTTGGTTGTGATCATCGGTTAGAAGATGGATTTAATCACTGTACCTGTCCATTTATTAAAAAGATTGTTTAAAAAACGGCATTAATTG